CATATTTTAACGATTCCATATTTTGTACCGGAGCCGGAAATACATAGAAAATAATAGAGAAAAAAAGAAAGAAGCTGATCGAATATATTACCAAAATAATAAAGAAAAATGGAGAGAATACCGAAAAAAAATGAAAAATAAAAAAGAAAACTTAAAAAATGTTGATCCAAGTAGGAAATATTCATTCTGATAATAATGAAGGAACTTATCTAAATAATACACAGAATGAAAATTTCAGAAATAAAGGTAAATTGCCTATTGTTTACGAAGAGAGCATTCAATTTGAAAAAGGAAGTCATGTGAATCAAGAGGAGGAAGAAAGTAATAAAGGCGAATCAGAAACTTATATGGAAGAGCAAAATCAAACTGTGGTGGAAGAGCCAACTAACATTAATTACATAAATCAGATAGATTCAGATGAGGAAGATGAGGAGGATTATCTTCGTTATCTGAACGACGAACCTGAGGATCTAGATGAGGACGTTTGTTAAAAAGAAATTAATTTGAAAAAGTTAAAATTTTCAGAGAGTAAAATAAAAAATTTTCAACTTTAGACATCATCGTTGTAAACAGTATAAAATCTAGAAAATTGTCCTTTTTTAAATTGACATCGGTGCTTATAGGGTTTGTATTACTTAATATGCAAAAATTTGAGATTTAAACATTTTACGATTTTATGCAAATAATAGGCCATAATATCCTCCTCAACGCTGCAAGCGAAAATTTTAAGAATTTTGGTTATCAAGTGGCCAAATTTCTTCACTTTTTTCCTAAAATTTATGAAAAATCTCAAAATTTTGGTAAAAATATGCAAAAATATTAAAATAATTTGAAAAAATTGGCAAAAAATTGAAATATAATGAAATTTCTATGTACTTTGCTTAGTACGTCGAATTTCAATTCTCACTATTTCTCACTATTATCAATTATGTAGAAATTGGTTTTTTAGCCAAAACAAGTCGGAACTTAATGAAATTCACGTGCAAAAGCAAGCAGGTTCTTTCAAAATTGTTTTTTGTCCTTTTATATTTTTCTTTGACAAAACTTTAAAGAAATTTCAAAATTTGCCGAATCATTTTTATATTTGCACTTTAACAGCCAATAGCTTGCCACACTAAAAATTACTCAATAATACAATTTTGGCTCATTTGCTTAGGGACTTTCTTTACCTTTAGCTTTGAGACCAATATATTATTTTAAGAGGTAAATATATCTTATTCGCTTTGAATAAAATATACATAAAAATCTATTTATCACTTCACCGAATTTAAAATTTCAACTTTTAGAAATGTCAGTTTTACAAAAATACTTTTATATTTTAAATGCGTCAAAGATTGTAGTTCTAAAACCAGGAACCTACCTAAAGCCCGGAATACCAAGATTTCTTCAAAATGTAGTTCAGAATACACGCTATTAGGATCAGACCAAGTTTCGAATTCAATACTATATCAAAGGGGCGTATTTTCCTCCGCGTCCGTCTTCCACAGTATTCCGACATTTTAGGCTCCATCTTTCGCTATTTTTCAGATTTCTTCCCCTTACGCCTTCCATTTTTTAATATTAAAAATAATCCATCACTGCTCTACATCTAAACATTTTTCTTAGTTTTTTATCCAATTTGAGATGGTCAGATTTGTTATTCTTCTAGTCTTATATTTTTTCTATATTCATTGTGATGGGAAAAATATAGAAGTTGAATTGAAAATCAAAGATGATTGGGAAGATAAAAGAGAATTTATTTATTTAAAGAGTGTTGAACTAAACGAACGTTTTGTGCTAAAAACAATCAAAAGGAGCAATAATCAACATGCTTGCTTTTATGAAAATATAGAGAGATTCTTGCATTTGGTTCAATTTAACCGTCAAAAAAATATTTTTAAAGTTGAAATAAAAGATTGTTCAAGATTTATTCCAACTAGTCAGTTAAATAAGAAAGTTGTGATTGAAATTGCCAATAATGAAATTATTCAAAAAATTTTGCCGAGAATTGAAAAACGAGTAAATTATAAAAACGAGTAAATTATGACTTATCATTAGAGAGTGTACGGAATTTCGGACACAAGAATTTTGGTCACTAATATTTTCGGAACTTTAGTCACCAATTTTTTGGAATTTTGGTCACCAGCGGAATTTTGGTCACCAAGTCAAAAAACGGAAAATTGGGCACTGAAATTTCGGTCGCCAAATGAGAAAACCGAATATTTTCTAAAACTGATATCAAAGTTATAAAAAATTGTTTTTCAACCCCTATTTGATCAATTTTAATGTTTATCACTCTTCCGGAAAATTGATTAACCGTGAGAGTGATCAACATTGAAATTGATCAACTGAGGGTTGAAAAACAATTTTTATCAAATAAAAGTAAAGAAAATGCGGGGAGATAACCGATATGTATCATTTACTTTCATACACTTCCTAAGATTTTTCAATGCTGCTTATATTAATTTAATCATTAATTTAAGTTGCTACTAAATAATAATTTTATTGAGAAAATGAAAAACAATTATTATGAAACTTCGATATTAGAAGAAAGTTTAGAAAATGTAAATAAAAAAGAATTATTAAAGGAAAATATAGAAAATTACAAAGACAAACTTTTATCAAGTTATTGGACGGAAATTAATTTAATTGGGTATAAAATTGAATTGTTAGAAAAACAAAAAGTTGAATATCCGAGAGAATTAAACTGTAGAATTATTTACATTGGCAATAAAATTAGTAAGTTTTGAGTCGCTTAGTCAATCACTCGCACAGGAATGGATGAAAATCTCGTGCGAACGTTTGCCCATAATTTTTCCACGCGCCTTGAACTCTGTATCAGAGAAAGGCTGGCCATTTCAAAAATTCTTGTTAGTATTTGTTTCCCATTTATTACTCTATTATTTAAGCCTTATTTGATCTCATTATCTTCAATTTGATAAAGTTATTTCAAAAATAATGTGTGCAGTTTCTTTTATGTCACCCTGATTGCCAATTTTTGAATGTTTTAAACTTAATATTTATAGGTGAAATTATTGAAGGAGATCAACGGCATTGCTTCAATTGTGGAGTTAAACAAACTAGACAATGGGATATATACATAAAAGAAAATTATTTGTGCCACGATTGTTACAGATATAAAATAAAAAATAATGGAAAGCTGAGACCGAAAAAATTTTGGTTTAAAACTAAAAAGGTTTGTGTTTTTATGCAAATTATTAGAATGACGAGCGTTTTTTGATGAGCAACAAACGGTCAATTAAGCGGGTCCACCACAAGAAGTCAAAACTCAGAAGGTCAAGACCCTGGAGATCAATTACCAAAAAGGTCAAATACAAATTTGACTCATGCTCAAGAATATGTTTGCCTGGTTCATTTTGCATTTCCGACAGTTTAAACTAGAGTATTTCCGTGCTATGTCTCTTAATCCCACTTAATCCCAACAAATCCGTCTTAATCCACCCAAATCCGTCTAAATCCTCTTTAATCCCAGCAAATCCGTCTTAATATGCACAAATCCTTATTTATCCGCCCAAAATTTGTATTTGACCGTTTGGGCCATTTGACCTCCAGGGTCTTGACCTTCTGCGTTTTGACTTTCTGGGTTAAGACCCTGGTCAAGAGCCTGGAGATCAAATGATCCAGAAGGTCAAATACAAATTTGACTCATGCTCAAGAATATGTTTGCCTGGTTCCTTTTGCATTTTCCGACAGTTTAAACTAGAGTATTTCCGTGCTATGTCTCTTAATCCCACTTAATCCCAACAAATCCGTCGATATCCTCCTTAATACCCACAAATCCGCCTTGATATGCACAAATCCTTATTTATCCGCCCAAAATTTGTATTTAACCGTTTAGGTCATTTGATCTACAAGGTCTTAACATTCTGCGTTTTGACCTTCTGGGTTAATCCCGTTTAAACGAAATAATAAACTAACTGAAAATATTATATTTTTATAAATATTTTAGCGAATTACCCAAGATCGAACATGTTTTATTTGCGGAGTTATGAATAAAACAATTTGGTATCGTCATTCGAAACCTGGACACTATATTTGTCGTGTCTGTTACTTAACCAACAAAAAAATAATGAAGATAACGTGAAATTGCAGAAGGAAAGGAAGACTGCCTTATTTTAAAATAATTTATAGATTATGAATATTTATGATAACTTCCAAGGATTTAGAGGGAGTATGAAGGGGCTCCCGGACAATGCGTCAGTGGAAAATGCGTCAGTGGACTTCATCACTTTTAATTGCTTTATATCAATACTGCACTGACGCATTTTCCACTGACGCATTGTCCATTGACGCATTGTCCGGACACATGAAGGATATATTACAATTATGTTAACATTTTTAGTAAACTTTAAATATGATTTATCTGTTTTTCTAACAACGATTATGAAGGAAAAGAAAAGAACAAAATAAGATAGGACAGAATTTAAAGATATAAGGAATGTAAAAAACATTCGTTGTTGAATTTGTTCTACAACTAAAAAACATGCATTAGAAAAATGCAATTTCTTTCAATCTTCAAGTCTTTGAAACATTCTAAATAAGTAAATGATTTTAGAATTGAAAATTTTTTGAATATTATTATTAGTGGATCTGTACATACAGGGTGGGGCAAAAGTTCGGCGACAAATTTTATTTTGTCCTATCTTAAAATTTACTTTATATTTTGCATTTTGTTTAGTTTTCCCATATTCTATGATTCGCGCTCTACAAATTTTATCTTGAAAATTTTTTCCTATCTCATAGAGTAAAAATTTTACAGAATGTTAAAAAATCGTGCTTCTATTATTTCTTTGTATTTTAAAAATGTTAGAAAATGTGCATCGCTAGACAGCTCGATATCTGTCGTAAGTTGGTTTCCAAAACAATAAAACGATATCATGAGCCTGGAAATACTCAGGACCGTCCTAGTAGTGGCAGCCGGTAACCGAAGTTGCAACTGAAAACATGAACGGACGTCAGATGCCGAATTTTCCGTTTTTCTGAACAATCGATGTGAAAAACGGCCTCAGATCTCGGAATGAGCTCGAGGAGCCTCCTAAAAATTGTCAGAGTGAAGCTAAGACTTTGGAGTTACAAGATCAGCCGCTCATATTTCCTTAGCAATCGAATGAAGCATAAGAGACTTCAAAAATGTCGAAGGATTAAACGCCTGGTCGCAGCTGGTCGCCATAACAGAGTGATGACTATAAAAATTAATGCTACAGTCTAAAAAATGACATTCTGAGGGGGATTGAGCATCCATGGCATTATAGCTTCACGGAGAAAACCAATTCACGCTTCAGCAGGATTGAGCACCCGCACATGGAGCCAAAACAACAATCCAGCTCTGTGGGGAGCTGTTTCCTGGTTTTTGGGGGAAAGATTTAAGGCCTTCATACTCACTGGATTTAAGTCAGCGGATTATGTTATTTGGGCATTTCTGGAGCAAAAAGTATGCCGAATCCGATACGCAACATAGGAGGAACTGAAAGTTGTTTTGAGCGGGCCTGGAACTAAATAACCGATGAACAATGCGCGACCATTGTGAGTAACATCCGTAAGTGTTTGGATGCGTGTATTTCAGTCAGGGTCGGTCATTTTGAGAAATTACTTTAATAAAATGATTATTATATCCTATTGATTATATTTTATCAATTTTTAATCTTAAATGAAATTTTTTTACAATAGATTTTATTAAAAACATTTGTCGCCGGACTTTTGCCCCACCCTGTATGTATCTATTAGAGTTGTTAATATTGTGGACCTACTAAGTCAAAATATCTAACCCACTATCCACTTTACTTTTTACCAGTCGCAACTAGGATTGTTTCAAAAAATACCAAGTCTAAAAACAAGTGTGTCGTATTGAGATCGGTAAAATCGCATTCCCGAAATTCCGTAACGGGATTTTTTCAACATTTTTAAGGAACGAGATCCCGCGGGATTAATCCCGTAAATCCCAGTAATCCTGTTTTTAGATAAAACCCGGGATTTTTAGACTGGATCCCGTGAAATCCCGTGCAGATCCCGTCCCGTTCCGTCTCTAGTGTCGTATATAATTATATATAAACTTTGAAACCATTCTCTTTTAGTCAAGATCATCAATATGAGGCTTTGTAGCTGGCTGAGTCTATTATTTATTATTTAATTTAGATTTAATTTGATGATAAGTATGCCCCCACCGGACGATGTAAATATAACTTTAATTGGCTTTATAGAATTCATAGAATCGCTCAGCTAAAGCTGAATGTCTGGACGAAGTTACAGCCTGAAGTATTTACATCGAGCCGGCGGTGTTTGGCATACGTCTTTGAAGGATTTAGACGTATTCATTTGTTACGACCCAAAGTGTCCGAGGTTTAACTAATGTCAACTAACACAACAATAACACTTTATCACACTTAGAAATAAACAATGTGTAGGCGAAGGGAATGGGACAGACGAAGGAGATCAGTGACTAGCCCCATCTTTAATTTTTTATGAAATTTTGAAACTATCAAAAACTACCGAAGGGTTGCTAAGCTTAACTAATTCTTGAACAATTAAGGCACGCTCATCGAGATTGTATAATTGCTTATTTTTTACAGCGTTCGTTAACATCTTGTAATAATTATCTTCATCAGGGCTATTGCCAATTATTTTAACTCGAAGATGTTCTGGAAAATTTTCGGGTAATTCATATTTTGCTGCATATTCTTCAAATTCTATGGGTAAATCATCCACTTTTTGTTCAACGTGACCGTGACCACTTGATTCTCCAACATGTTTTGATTTGTTCTTTTTTCCTTTATTTCCCCCACAATCCAATGAATTTAACAAAACATAAAATACGACAACGAATAAAATAAAGGTATAAGATTTCATTTACTTTTGGAATCTAAATTTATATTTTATAAAATATAATTTGACGATGCGACCAGTGATTGGAAGCTCGTACCAAAATTCGTTCTTGCATCTGTGTACGATACGAGAAAAAATAATGCTGCACGTTTGTAATTAGAGTTGCCGTTTTCGAATCGGCCGACGGCCAAGTTATTTTCGGCTTCATTTTTATCGAGTCGGGTCGTACGAGTCTTTTTCGAGCCATATGTAAATCATATGAATTAATCAATTATACATTATTACAGTTTTTTGGTTTAAAAAATTTTTTCTTTAAGCGTCCAAGGGATCCCTTTAATTTTTCGCAATGTTTAAAAAAAGACTGCATCGAATCAACACCAAACTTAAATAATAAAATAGCAAAGAAAAAGAAGGCAGCAAGACAAATTTTTTGCGCATTTCTCTAATAAAATTTCAAAAAAATTATTTGTTAAAAATAATACAAAATCTCATTTATGTATACGGTAAATGCCATGGCATTCTATTTTTCAATTACCTTCCAGGGTGTCATTCTATTAGAGACTGACATTAACTAGAGGGTGTCATTCTTATAGAGAGTTACGATATAGAGATTTTACGGTTTGATATTAAAGTCGGCGATAGCTAAGATCTCAGAAAAATTTGCGGCTGTAGTTTAGTATACCGGAGTTTTAGTTCCGATATAAGCCCCATACCATTCGATTCGTCTCGGCGAGCTGAATCGAACGTACCACTCTCCAGGCGCGGAAATGAATGTGGGCCGAGATATAGGTCCCCGAAAATCGAAAAACCAAAGGGGGGAGTAAGCAAAATTTTGGGGTGAAAAATTCGAATATGCAAATAATAACTCTTTCGAAAGAGCTCCTCGAGCTGAGTCGAATTACACCTAAATCAACAAAATCCAACTTGACCAAACAAAGTTATCATCTTTTATTTTAGCTCCTTAATTATGGCATCTGTAGAGATTTTCGCTGCTACGGAGGCCCCAGTTACGTCCAGAGCAAGGGAATTAGGAATAGGTTTATGTTACGAGCCCATACCCAGCGCCCGTAGACTCCCCGCGAGGCGCGTGCCGCAAAACCCCGCGCGAAGCGCGGGGTTTTGCGGCACGCGCCTCGCCGTCGCTCCATAGGTTTAGGTTTTTTGTTTTTTGTGTCATAACTTTGTCTAATTTTGTTCAATCATGGTGATTTTGGTGTCATTCGACTCAGCTCGAGGAGCTCTTTTGAATGAGCTATCACTCTAAAAATCGAATTTTTCACCCCAAAATTGTGCTTACTCCCCCCTATGGTTTTTCGATTTTCGAGGACCTATATCTCGGCCCACAGGCATTTCCGCGCTGGAGAGTGGTACCTTTCGACTCAGCTCGCCGAGACGAATCGAATGGTATGGGGCTTATATCGAAACTAAAACTACGGTATACTGAACTATATCCAAATTGGCTCCCAAAATTTGCTTTAGAGTAACGGTTAATTTTTTATTAAAGAGGGATTATATGAAGGAAGATAACTGCTTGTAAAAATATATAAATTAAAAAAAAATTAAATTAAAAAAATGAATAAATAAATTTATTTTATAATTACTTAAATAATAGAAGGAATGGCTCGCACGCCTAGATTAATTTAAAGTCTCTCCTCTCAACTGCCCTTTTTTGGCTTAACCACTGATCTTTAAACCAGGAATTAAGAAAATTTAAAAATGAATTTTCTAAAATTCGAATGACATAAAAATCAAGACAGAATATCACCTTTAAATAATTAAAATAAAAAAAGAATAGAAATAAAAAAGTTGGAAGAATAGAAAAAAAAATATAGTAAAAAAATTTGATTCAAAATGTTATATATTAAAGTAATGGAAATAAGACTAGCCTAATTAAAGCTTAACCAAGCTTAATAAGCAAGCCTATAACCAAACTCGAAAATAATCTTATTATTTCATTCATTTTTATTTAAAATAATTATTACAAATTAAAATGGGAGTTTTCGTTGAAAATGGGAGATTTCGTTAATTTTGGTATCATTCAACTCTGCTCGTCGTGCCTTTCGAATGAGCTATTATTTTTATATTCTAATTTTTGACCCCAAAAATCAGTTTGTCCCCCCTATGGTTTTCGATTTTCAGGGGTCTGCAAATCCGGGAAAATGCAAAAGTGGACAATTTCGAGTACTTTTATAGTGAATATTTTATCTCCATACATTTTTCGGACTAAAAAACATGTGTTTGAATGTGTTATTGAGCCTAACCCTAGCCAGGCTTACTTTTATTTATATTGATATACATATAACATTTTGAATCAAATTTTTTTACTATATTTTTTTTCTATTCTTCCAACTTTTTTATTTCTATTCTTTTTTAATTTTATTTAAAGGTGATATTTTGTCTTGATTTTTATGTCATTCGAATCTTAGAAAATATAAATTTGAATTTTCTTAATTCTTGGTTTAAAGATCATTGGTTAAGCCAAAAAAGGGCAGTTAAGAGGATGGACTTTAAATTTATTTTGGCTTGCGAGCCATTCCTCGCTATATTTAAGTAATTATAAAATAAATTTATTTATTCAATTTTTTAAATTTAATTTCTTTAAACTTTATCCTTACAAGCTATATCCCTTAATACATATAATCCCTCTTTATTGAAAAATTAACCGTTACCCTAAGGTAACATATGGGACCCTATTTTTCTGGGACCTTAGCTATCTTCGACTTTAAACCATAAACATAAATGAAATTTTGTATGATGTTTACAAAATAATTTTTTTTGAAATTTTATTAGAAAAAATGCGCAACAAATTTTTGGTTGCCGCCTTCTTTTTCTTTGTTATTTTATTATTAGAGTTTGGTGTTGATTCGATGAAGTCTCGTTTTGAACATGTCGAAAGCTCAAAAAGTTCAAAAGGTTTAAAATTGAAAATGCCGAAACTAAGGCTGAAAACTCCTTTTCTCAATCATAAAAAAAGAATTTTACTTCTAGCAGATAAATTTTTGACTCATTACAATTTCGCTGTAAGCATGATAATTTTATTATTTTATGGCTTAATTTCCTTCATAAATACCGTAAATGCTCTCCACATGCTTCTATTCTTCGATCCCCTTGTAGGGTTGCTTATATTAGGGAGTCTGCTTCAAATAGGGAGTGTGGTTCTATTAGAGCATTTACGGTATATGGAGTCCCAAAATTTGTTTTGATTTTCGACTGAGCGAAATGGGAGGGTCGATTTCGATACATTTAAGCTTGAATTGCCATTATTTCCTATGAAACAAAATCTGTTGCCAAATAAATTTTTAAAACAAATTTTTAACTTTAAAATGTTACAAATAAAATTCCAAATTAATTCCCTTTTAAAATCAAATATAATTCCTCTAAATTTAGTCA